CTCCTCATAGAGCCCAGCCTCCCGGATAATCTGTTCTGCATATAGGTTGAAAAGGTATGGAGATAGGATGCATCCCTGGCGTATGCCCTTCCCAATTTTGAACCATGCAGTTCTTACTAGTTATCCTTCTATTTTTGTAATAATGGACTTACACAGTATTTGTGAGTTCATTCTAGTCTCTCCCATTAATATAGTATTTTTCTAAATTGTTGCTCCTAAGTATTGCATGGTATATAATGTGAATGTATTATAATTGCTCAATCCAGTCATTTGTTGATGGACATTTGGGTTGTTTCTTGAAACTATGAATGCTGCTGCTAGGATCACCAGTGTACAAATCTCCATTTGTGTCTCTGTTCTATTTTCCTTGGGGTATATTCCTAGCAGTGGAATAGCTGGGCCATATGGAATTTCTAGGTTTAGCTTTTTTATGAAATACCAACTTGCCTTCCAGAGTGGTTTTGTACCATTTTACAATCCCACCAACAATGTATAAGAATTCCTTTCTTGCCACATCCTTTCCACCATTTATTGGTTGCTGTCCTATTAAACTTCGCCACTGTTACTGGACTGAGATGGTATCTCATTGTGGTTTCAATTTGCATCTTTCTTATTACCAGTGATTTTGGGCATCTCTTCATGTGTCTGTTGGCTATTCAAATATCTTCCTCTATAAAATTCTTTCCATGTCTTTTGTCCATTATATAATTGGATTATCAGTCTTTTTCTTGTGGAGGCTCAGGAGTATTCTATAAACTTTCATTATGAGACTCTTGTCTGAGATGGGATTACCAAATGTTTGTTCCCAGGTCAGTAGGCTTTCTTTTCACCCTGTTGGAAAAAGTTTTTGATGTGCACAGGGATTTAATCTTTAGAAAGTCCCATTCATCAATTTTATGTTCTTCAGATTGTGCATTTCTGCCTGTATTTGGCAGTCTCTTTATACCATAGAGGTGGCCATCTAAGCTTGATCCCAGTTTGTCTCTGATGAACTTAATGGTTTTGGGCTTTACTCCAAGGTCTCTGATCCACTTAAGTAGATTTTTGCATATGGTGTGAGATGTGGATCCTGTTTCAGCTTTTTGTAGGTAGCAATCCAGTTTTGCCAGCACCATTTGTTAAAGAGGTTGTCATTTCCCCATTTGGTAGCTTTGATTTCCTTGTTGAGTATCTGTTGACTATTTCTGGTTTCTCAATTTTGTTCTATTGATCTGTGTGTCTGTCACTGTAACAATACCATGCTGTTTTTTTTACTACCGCTGTATTGTAGGGTTTGAGGTCATGGAGTGCTATACCTCTCAATATTTGTTTCTCAGAAGTGTTCTGCTTATTTGGAGTCTCTTGCCTCTCCAAATAAATCTGACAATTTCCCTTTCAATCTCCTTGAAAAATGAGTTTGTTATCTAGATTGGGATTGTGTTGAACATGTAGATTGATTTTGGTAGGATTGTCATTTTCTTTTTTTTTGTCATTTTCACGATATTGAGTCTTCCTATTCATGAACAGGGAATATTTTCCTATTTCTTTAGGTCTTTTATTGTGTCTTGCAGAAATTCTCTGTAGTTTTCTTTGTATAGGGTTTTTGTATCTTTAGTTAGGTTCACTCCCAAGTATCTCAATTTGTGATTGCTTATTGCAAATGGTATTGCTTTCTTGATTTCCTTCTCTGAGTTCTTTGTTACTGTAGAGGAATCCCACTGATTTTTGGATATTTATCTTATATCCTGCCACTCTATTAAACTGGCCTATTAACTCTTAATAGTTTTTTGGTTGAGTCTTTGGGGTTTTCTGTGTATATTATCATATCATCTGCATATAGTGACAGTTTAACCATCTCTTTGCCAATCTGGGTGCCTTTTATTTCCTTGTCATATTGCCCTAGCAAGCACTTCCAATACAGTATATATTGAATAGAAGTAGTGACAGTGGGCATCCTTGTCTGGTTCACAATGAAAATGCTTTTAGTCTTTCTCCATTGAGAATGATGTTGGCTCTTGGTTTTGCCTATATACTTTTCACTATGTTGAAGAAATTCCCTTCTATTCCAGTTTTGCTGAGTGTGTTCATCAGGGAGGGATGTTATATTTTGTCAAATGCCTTTTCTGCATCAATCATAAGATCACATAGTTCTTGTTATTTATTTGGTTAATACAGTGAATTATGTTGATTATTTTTCTTTTGTTGAACCATCCTTGTATATCTGTTATGAATCTCACTTGGTCATGGTGAATTGATATTTTTAAATGTGCTTTTTGAGCCGATTGGCTAGAATTTTGCATCTATATTCATGATATGGGTCTGTAGTTTTCTTTCTTGATAATATCTTTGCCTTGTTTGGGTTTTAGGATTATGCTTGCTTCATAGAATGTCTATGAGTGTGTTCCTTCTTTTTCAAATTTTTGAAATTAAGTAGAATTGGTGCTAAATCTTCTCTGAATGTTTGGTAGAATTCAGCTGTGAAGCCATCTGGAGGGACTTAATCTTAAGAAGGCCCCCTTCATTGATGTTATCCTCTCCTGGTTGTGAACTTCTAGCTGTTTTCCTAGCCTATTTATAGGCCCAGGCCTTCTAAGCTTCATCACATTTTGTCTCATATAATCTTTATGGTTTTGGGCTTTACCCCAAAATTCTGATCCACTTTGAGTTGATTTTTGTGTATGGTGTGAGATGTGGATCCTGCGTCAACTTTCTGCAGGTAACAGTGCAATTCTGCCACATCACATTTGGTGATGCAAAGAGCCAATGAGGGGGAGAGCGCCTTAGTGAAATGGGATCAGCACAACAGCTACAATGATGTACAAAAAACATTTTGCTTTGTTGTACACAGTTCATCCTAAGTCAAAGTTGACTCAGAAGATCTCTTTACCTTTTAGTATGAGCGTTAATATGTTTCAGTACAGAAATACTAATGTTTTTGATAGCAAGGTGCTTCTACAGAACCCCTCAGGATGTGTTATGTTATATAGACTCAAAATTTAATAGGGTTGAATTTGAATGGACTCTTAGTTGATTCTCCAGTGGGTTTTGGGGTGGCGGTCTATTGTCTATTTTTTCCTGCAGAGTTACTAGTGGATTTAAAACCACCAGAGAGGTATCACTTTTGGGTTAGCAGTACAATTCCCTATGGACCATGCCACCATAGTAGTAATGGTTCACCTGTATAGATAGAAACATATAGAAATTGATCTAATATTCTTTCTACAATATGAAAAATTTGGAATTCTGAATCACAGCTAACCCCCAAGAACTCTAGACAGAGATTGTGAACCTGTAAGTGCTTCCACATAAGATCTTTTTGGAGAGAAGGCATGTGCCCCAAAGCTCACAGGTCATGAGTATATATGACTAGTCATAGAAGTAAACCATGGCAGAAATAGAAGCCAAAGGGAGACTTGATACATGGCTACCACTGGGCCCCTGGTTACTGTTGATATTACCTGTCTCTGGAACTTCCTGTGGTTGGAATTTCTTGGCTAATTTTAGGGCAGCTTCAAGGTCATAGACTTGGGAGCGGGTGATCTTCAGCTCCCTTCGGAGCTCATTTATCTCTTTAATCAGAGAGACATTTTCCTGTAGAGTAAAAAAGTGAAGAAAGAGAGAATCTGGATGAATGAGCCCAGACTAACTCTCCGGTTTCCCTACTGGGGCATGCATCTTTATCCCAGCTCATGGTTCAGTCTCTTCAGGCATCAGCTAAATCATCTTTAAGTGGACTCTGGTAAAGTAAAATAAAGTTACACCATTCTCATGCATTTATGCTCTATGCTCTTTCCAGTATCACCAGCAACAACTGTGGCTAACATTGAGAAGAATGGGAATCTCAGAACACTTGATTGTGCTCATGCAAAACCTATATCTAGACCAAGAAGCTGTTATCCAAACAGAGCAAGGGAAAACTGCATGGTTTAAAATAAAAAATGGAATGTGTCAGGAAATATTCTATCACCACACCTTTTCAATCTATAGCAGAACAAATCATTCAGGAGGCTAGGCTTTATGAAGAATGGGTCATCAGGATTGGAAGAGGACACATCAGCAACCTGCACTATGCAGATGACACAACTTTGTTCGCTGAAACTGAGGAGGATTTGAAGTGCTTCCTTCAGAAGATCGGAGACTGTCACCTTCAATATGGATTGCATCTCAACATTAATAAAACAAAAATCTCACTACTAGGCCAATAAGCAGCATCATGATAGGTGGAGAAAAGATTTAAATTGTTAATGATTTCATCTTGCTTGGATCCACAATCAACACCTTTGGCACCAAGCGTTAGGAAATAAAAAGATGAGTTCCACTGGGGAAAATGTGTTGTCAGGAACCTCTCCAGAGTGCTAAAAAGCAATGATATTGGTCTCAATACTGAAGTGTCCTTGATCCAAGCCATGGTCTCCTCAGTTGCTTGCTATGCACCTGACAGCTGGGCAATGAATAAAGATGACAGAAGAGTAAATTCCTTTGAGCTTTGGTATTGGAGAAGAGTATTGAACATGGACTGCCAAGAGAACAAACAAGTCTGTCCTGGATCTCTCCCTTGGAGGCAAGGATTTTGAAACTCTGTCTCACATACTTTGGGCATGTTGTCAGGATGGGCCAGTCCTTGGAGAACAACATCATGCTTGGAAAGGTAGGAGGTTAGCACAAGATCAGAAGATCCTGGATGAGACGCATTGTCATGGTGACTGTGGCAATAGCACCAAGTATGCTGGAGATAGTGCGGTTGGCTCAGGATAGGGCAAGGTTCAGAGACACTGTTTATAGGATCATTATGAACTGTAGACAACTCAATAGCACATAACACCAACAAACATTTTATATCAATTTAATGCACATAATACTAGAATTGACTTTACAGAGGAGTAAACTGAGGCACATAGAGATTGTGTAACTAACATTCTCGACAAGGGTTCCAACTTCAATTGGTCTGGTTCCAGAATTTTGAGCTCTTAAGTAGTGTGTTATACTTTATTATTCATGCCCCATTCATTTGTTGACCATACATTTTAGGGTACATGCTAATTTCATGGTGTCTGCCCTTATCACCACTTGGTTATTTAGAATACAGAAAACAGATAATTAAGATCTTCCACTCCACTGAAATGGACTTTTATTGTTCGTGTTTTATAAATATACAGCCATACAATAAATATTTACTGAGTACTTATAAGGAACACTGGAGGCTTAGTGTATGGTGTTGCACTGCACTGCTAAGCAAAAGTTGAGCTATTTAAATCCACTCATTGCTTTGAAGAAGAAAGATGGACAGTCTCCTTTCCTTAAAATTTATAATCTCATAAATTTGATGGAGGAATTTTCTCCAAGGACATTTTCTTGACCACATGTCCAAAGTATATGCAACCAACTTCTACAATCCTTGCCTCTAGGAAGCACTTCTAGTTGCACCGCCTTTCAGCCAGACTTGCTTGTTTTTCTGAAAATCAATGTGATGTTTGATACTCTTTTCCAACCTTACCATTCAAAGGCCTTGATTTTTCTTCTGTCATCCTTACTATCCAAATTTCAGATACATGTGAAGGAACTGAACATATCATAGCTTGGATAAGCTGCACCATAGTCTTTAACTCATATTCTTGCTTTTGAGGTCTTTGACAATAGATTTTCTAAATGCAACATCTCTTTTTATTTTCTGACTACTGCTAACACAGGTGTTGACTGTGGATTCAAGTAAGATGAAATAATTGACAACTTCAATATTTTTTCCTTCTAGCATGATATTAGGGAGCTCTGGTAGCCTAGTGGCAAGAAGCTGTACTGCAATTCCAAAGGCACTCGGTTTGAGGCCACCAGCAGCTCCGCGAGAGAAGGATGGACAATCTCCTGTGCAATTAACTGCCTCTGAAAACCTGCGGGAGGGTCAGCTATGGGCTGGTTCCAGCTCAACAGTACTCAACAACAACAATCATGATATTGCCGATTAGTCCAGTTGTGAGGATTTTGGTGGTGTGTTTTTTTGTTTGTTTTTATATTAAAAGCTGCAGTCTTTGATTTTCTGCTGCAAAAGGTTCAAGTCTTTTTCACTTTCTGCAAGGTCTTGTCATCTGCATAATGCAGACTGTTGATGAGTCTTCCTTCAATTTCGATGCCACAGTCTTCTTCATATAGTCCATTTTCCTGAATGATTTGCTTGGCATACAAGCTGAATAGGAATGGAGAAACAATATAACCTTGATGCACACCTTTTCTTATTTTAAACAATGCAGTGCTCTCTTGTTCAGCTGGGACAACAACTTCTTGGTCTAGTTCTACATTTCTTGTGAGCACAATTAAGTGTTCTGAGATGACAGTTATTCTCAGTGTTATCCATAATTTTTTATGATTGACATAATCAAGTGCCTTCACATAGTCCATAAAACACAAGTCAACATCTTTCTAATAGTCTCTGCTTTTAGCCAAGCTCTAACATCAGCAATAATATCCCTCCTGCCATGGCTTCTTCTGAATCCAGCTTGAACTTCTGGAAGCTCCCTGCAGATGTACTGTCCTGGCCATTTTAAATCATTTCCAACAAGATTTTACTTGCATGCAATGTTAATGATAAAGTTTGATATTTCTATATTTTGTTGTATCAATTTTTTAAAAATAGAAACAAATATGGATCTCTTCCAGTCAGCTGACCATGCAATGTACTCCTAAAAAAAAAAAAAGATTAGTCTCTGGTTGATGATAAGAGTTAAGTGTTTAACTTGTGTACCATCGAGTTGAAACTGACCCATAGCTGACATTCAAGCAGGTTTTCAGAGGCAGTTAATCACACAGGAGAAGAATGCCCATCCTTCCACTGAACAGCAGCTGGTGGATTTGAACTGTGTGCCTCTGTGGTCAAAGCGCAGTTACTTACCTCTAGGCCACCAGAGCTCCTCAACTGTTCAACTGTTGTTGTTGTTATTATGTGCCGTCGAGTCGCTTGCAACTCATAGCGACCCTATGTACAACAGCCCTAAACTCTGCTCTGTCCTGTGCCAGTC